TCCGGCCTCCCCGAGCGGGGAGCGGCCCCTTCCCTCCCCTCTTTATTCTCAAACAGCCCGAAGGCTGCGCTGTGCACCGGCCACCTCTTACGTCCCCCTCCTGCCCGGAACCAACAGCTCTTCACCATTCCCCCCGCCCCCCAACTCCCACGAAGCCCCCAGCATCGGCGCCTTTGCCCCGTATGCCAGGTCTTGCGAGAGCGGAGGAAAGAGCCTTCTTGGTGTTGGAGGTGTCAGTGCCCCACTTTCTCCACCCGGTTCCGCTTCTTGAGCTGAGCGGGGCATTGGCTCCTCCGCCGAGAAATGCCCCCTTGCGCGAGCCCCGACTTTGTTCCCGGGACCGCCGTGCGCGCCCGCCGAGGGATGCAGACGGCACCGTCCCCCCTCCCTCTCTCTCCTCCTCGGTGCGTTTATACCCGGGTCGGCACGTCGACAGTGTTGATGAAGGTGCGGAAAGTAGCGTTTCGACTTGTGCACTGAGTGTGAGAAAGTAGTGGTGGAGGCCGGGAGATTAAAAAAAATAATTTTTCTAGGAGTTGGGGTAGTGGGGTGGAGAACAGACGTTATGTAACTTTGAGAGAACAGCTGTCAACACACAGAAGTTAATCACGTTGGGTTGGGCCAGAGCACCGTGGGGACAGTTATGCCCCAAACTTAAACCATCCCAGCCCGGGTTTGGGCCGGAACTGTAAGAGGAATGCGCTCGTGCCGGCAGCAGGGCTGTAAGGCGATTACGTCAATAGGCTCGTGGGCATCTTGCTTCGAGGACAGGGAACACCCATTAGAGCGGATTGTCCCGACTGATTATGAATGGACCAAAACATCGCGGGCCCCACCTCCAGGGCCTTCGCTTTAGAAAGCTAACGTCAACACCCCGAATGTTAGGAACAGCATTTTGGCAGAGCACTGCGGGGGCTGTTTGGGTGAATTGAGGAGGACACCGAAGTCAGAGTGGATGGAATACATGGCAGGAGTGGTAGAGCTGAAGAGTTTAAAGGACTACACTGTTGAATGATAAGTGTTTGCTTTTTTCATTATTTTTTTTTTAACCCACTTGTTTGGGCAGTTTTCATTTCTGCTTCATATTACAACCACCAAGGATTTTCAGCCCCCAATGGCCTTCGTTTATCAAAGAGATTTGAAAAAGAAAAGGCAGTGTTACAAGTAAACAGCAAAATGGTCATCATGACTTTCCGTCTCCATGTCATCTTATTATTATCCGTATTGATAACTATTCTGTTATTTACTCCAAAGTAGTATTTTCTTTTACTCCCACCGAATTTTGTATCTGTTGGCCCAGTATTACAGGCTATGCACTCTATTTTCCCAGTCTTTCCGAGAAGATTAGAGCTTCAACTTGTTGAGGTTCCTGGGGAAGCCGATTACAAAACTGGTGACAGGGACAAACTAAAATGAATTGATAAAGTTTTCTCAGGTTCGAAGTAAATTTTCCAGAGGGCAAACAAGTTTAGAAAGCAGCTATTGCAGCCTTTAGACCTCTGACACTACAGTTTGTTGGGATCACATCCATTTGAAATGACTTAGTAAGCACTAGTGTCATCTTTCCCACGCTTTATTTACGCACAGCTCCTCCTGTTATGAGATCCCTGTTTGTGATCTCCCATCTATCCTGAATAGTATGCTTCATAAGTAACGCATGTAGATGCCATCTTCAATAATTCTACGTTTAGGATATTAAAGAGGCCTCCCTTCTCAGTCTTCTCTTTTACTTGGTAGAATTGACTCCACAAGCATCACTTTCTCAACACTTTTTGAGTCTGCTATGTTGCGTGCTCCACTGATCTGATTATAATATGTTCCGATGGATGATCATGACTTACAAAGTACATATATTTTCCCCAAGTATAACATACTCATGGTTATTTTTTGCTTTAAAATTTTTAAGTTCCACATATAATTCAAATGCAGTTCAATTTAATGGTGTTTACTATATTGACAGAGTTGTGCAACTGTCACCACAATCAATTTAGAGCATTTTCATCACCTCCAAACAGAAATCCTATGCCCATTAGCTGTCAATCCCCTTTTTCAACTAAACTCCCAAACTCTAGGCAATTTCTAATCTATTTTTGGTCTCCATAGATTTTCCTATTCTGGAAATTTCATATAAATAGAATGGTACAGTATGTTGTCTTTTGTTTCTGGCTTTTTTACTTAACAGTGTTTCAAGATTTGTATTGTAACATATATCAATACTTCATTCCTTTTTATTGCAAAATAATATTTCATTATAAGCATATACCATACTTTACTTACCCATTTATCAGTTAATGGACATTTGGGTTGTTTCCACTTTTTGGATATTGTGACTCACGCTACTATGAACATTGTGTACTTTTTTTTTTGTAGGAACATATGTTTTTATTTCTCTTGGGCTTTTATCCAGGAGAAGAATTCCTCTGTCACCTGGTAATTCTATGCTTAATGTTTTGAGGAACCCCCTAAATTGTTTTCCAAAGTGGCTACATCATTTTACATTCCCACCAACAGAAAATGAGGGATGTGGACTTCTCCACATCCTATCAGCACTTGTTACTGTCTTTTTTATTATAGCCATCCTGTTGGGTGTGTTTTGATTTGTATTTCCCTGTGACTTATGATGTTGACCATCTTTTCCTGAGTTTTTTGGCTATTTGTATATCTTCTTTAGAAGTTTCAGTTCCTATCTTTTGAGTATTTTTAAATTAGATTTTTTTGTCTCTTATTATTGAGTTTGCATATTATTTTTATTTGTGAATGCTTTTACTTCATTTTTACAACTCATAATATGATTTGTTTAAATATTTCTTAATAATTTATAGTCCAGAAAACTCCATTTCAGGACTAGCAATTGTCGCTTTACAATTAATTTACACGTTGGTTATCCTTGCTTGAAAGCAAAATCAAATGGGGTTAAAGGATACAGTTTTAGTTGGATATAGAATAATAATTAGATAATGTAATAAGAAGCTAACCTCTAGGGAATCTTGTATTGTTGTGTTTGTAGTTGCTCTCGATCCCCAGGTTTAAATATAGCATTCAAAGAAGGAAAGTTCTAAGAAACATTGTCATAACATGTTTACTTTAGTGGAATGAGTTGACACTTTCTTTACTTCCCTATGGAGGGCTCCTAATAAGATAGTGTTTATTACTCTGTTGTGCATACTGGTTTGACAGCCACAAGTGTCTGAAATAAAGGCAAATTAACATGCAGCCAATTAGAAATCTCAGTAGTTTTTCATGTTAAACACTTACCTAATCAGCTTATATAATGAGAACTAATATGAAAAGCTGTAAATTTTATTCTTTAGAGAAATAATGAGCCATTATTTTGAAAGGCAGCCAGAAAGTTTTTCTTCCTGCTCACTTTCTCTTTGCAACTTTCCCCCCCTTTTAATCTATACTGTTGCAAATCACTGATTCAGTATCTCTGGTATAGAAGTCTCATGTGAAGGTGCTTTGATTTATATATTGTAACATTAAAATGCCTTAAAGGATCGCTAATTGGTTGCATGGTTTTGAATTTGGAATATATGCCTGCCATTTTCTTTTAATGTTTTTATTGATTTGAGAGAGAGAGAGAGAGAGAGAGATATGCCCTGACCGGGAATCAAACCAGTGACCCTTTGGAGCAAGGGGCAGTGCTCAACCAAATGAGTCACACTGACCAGGGCTATGCCTGCCTTTCTTGAATCAGATTTTATATTTTTTAAATAATTTAAAATAATGTGTGATAAATAATATTTAGAATGAAATGCTTGTTCTTATTAATAATATACATTTAATATACTTTTATTGATTTTATAGGGAGGGAGAGGGAGAGAGAGAAAGAAACATCGATGTGAGAATCATCAATTAGCTGCTTCCTGCATGTGCCTACTGGAGATTGAGCCTGCAACCTACGCATGTGCCCTGACAGGGAATCGAATCTGGGACCTCACAGTCCATAGGGTAACGCTCAACCAACTGAGCCACACCAGCCAGGACTGCAAGCGAAGTTTTAAGAGAAATGGGAACATAAAAATAAAAACAAAAGTTGCTTTTAAAACAAAATCTTTAAATGTGTTGTAAATTAAGATTGCCTAAATCATAAGTTTCCAGGATCATGGAGGTGAATTCTTTGAATATTTTTTTCAATTGCATTTGACATTCAGTATTTTTTCATATTAGTTTCAGGTATAAAGTGTAGTGGTTAGACAATTACATGATTTATGAAGTGACCTCCCCTCACCCCCTCCCCTCCTCGTTAATTCTAGTACCCACCTGGGAATCCATTGACTCTTAATGCTTAATTTTTCATTCATAAACAGTAAATTGCTTAGGATAATTTGACTCTATATTCATATTTTAAATAGGGTTTACTAGCAATGGGTGAAAAACTAGACATGTACCCTTGGATGTAACCAAAAAGAAATGGTTTTTAGTTCAAAGAATTAGGTTCTAGTTTGCCTTTTAATTAATTTTAGAGAAAGAAAAAAAACACACATTGATTTGTTGTTCCACTTATTTATACATTCATTGGTTGCTTCGTGATGTGCCCTGACTAGAGATAAAACCTGCAACCTTGGTGTATTGGGATGATGCTTTAACCAACTGAGCTACCCCAGCCCAGGGCCTTAACTTTTTTTTTTCGTGTCACTTTTATTTATTCATTTTTAATATTTTTATTGATTTTTTACAGAGAGGAAGGGAGAGGGATAGAGACTTAGAAACATCGATAAGAGAAAGACATCACAAGGTACATGCCCTTGACTGGAATCGAACCTGGGACCCTTCAGTCCGCAGGCCAACGCTCTATCCACTGAGCCAAACCGGTTAGGGCTCTTGTCACTTTTATAATTACTGAAGTATGTATGTAATTTTTATTTAGAGCTACTGCTCTAAAGGGGAACGAGCCCAGCCTGGTGGCTCAATTGGTTGAGCATAGTCCCATGCACGGAGAGGCTGCAGTTAGGGCACGTACGTGGGTTGCAGGTTTTATCCCCAGGCAGGGAGCATATGGGAAGCAACCGATTGTTTCTCTCTCACATCCATGTTGTTGGCCTTTCTTCTCTCTCTCCCCCCGACCCTCTACCCTCTCCCTCCTTTTCTCCCCCTTCCTCTTGCTATGTCCTCTGGTGAGGATTTATAAACAAACAAATAAATAAATGGAGAAAAAATTCTTAAACCTGTGGGATTGTCTCTCAAGAAATGCTGTTATTTTAAGAATAATTTAGTCTCTTTCCTACCTGCATAGAGCTTCCATACAGCCCTGTAACTTATGAACAGGATTTTTACATTTTAGTAAAAGTTATCTGCAATGTGAAATTGATTAGAAAGTTAATATATAACACCTCATGAATACTTAAAATCTCTTTTTATATGTTATTTTTGGAAGGAAGTGGGTTAGTTAAAATGAAGATCTTATACTGTTGTTTTACCTCCATCACTTGAACAGTAGTATGTAGGGCAAGTGAACATACCAACTCAATTGGCAGTGAAGGCAGGGGTAAGTGACAGAATGCAGGGAAAAGACTTCAGGAAATAGAAAGGGAACAGGAAGGAAGTGGTTTGAAGGATGCTTTACCTAGGGCTTATTTGGTTTAGTTTTTGGAGTCTGCAGGCCTGGATCTGCTCTATCTTTGCTTTCATTGAAACCACATAGAGAGTCTTTCCACAATATTAGTGTAATGTGACAGTAAGCAGTGTAAATGTATTTATAGTCATTCAGTTAGCAGATTTTACTAAATGCCCACTGAGGCCAACTTCTGTTTTAGACCTGGGGGTATATGGAAATGGGAGATGGGGGAGAGGAATGGGTTAAGAAGGCATCTTAGAAAAAAGTGAAACATAAGCTGAGATCTGAAAAATGTGTAGAAAATAGCCTTATAAAGCAGAGAAAGGAGCCAATATGGGTCTGGAGGAGAAGACCGGAAGGTACTGATACAAGGCAGGGACGTTGTAAATCATGTTAGGAGAGCTGACTTGATTCTCAGTACAAGGAGAAGCTGACTTTTTCAAGAATCACTCTGGTAGTGAGGTTGGGAAATGGACTGTAGAGGGGTAAGAGGTGTGGAGATCACCATTTAGGACATTGTTGCACTAATTCTGGTGAAAGATAGGAATGGTGGATTTGTACTAAGTGGAGTTAATGCTTGTGGAGATGGAGAGAAAGAAATGGATGGATGCAATAAAGATTTAAGAAGCCAAATGGACAAGACTTCATTGGACATTGGGGTGAGAAAGAGGAATATTTTCAGGGGTTTTGTTTTTTTTTGGTTTAGATACCTAGGTGTATGCTGGTATCTAAAATAGGGAAGTAATGGTAATAGCAGCGTTTTGGTGTGTGTTTGGGCGGGGGGTGATCATTAGTTCAGTTTTGGACATGTTGAGTTGGTATCTGAAAGGAGAAGCTCTATTTCTTCTTTTTCTCTCTACACTTAAACCAGTACTCTGGCTGCCCAATGTGTGTGTGTGTGGGGGGGGGGGGGGGGGCGGTTCCCCACACCGAGCAGTTCTGTAATTCTCTGAGACACCAACTGGGTGGCCTACAATTCTGATGTTATACACCTAGAGTTAGCATTAGATCCTACAGATTAAGGGCTCAGTCCCACAAGACTTCCTGCTTCACCACTGTCCTCAAGTTATCCACAACTTCGTCTGAGTTGACTACAAATCGGGAGTTTGCATGATCCTTTCTTTGTGTTCAATCATTTGGTAGAACATCTAGTTTATTTACTAGACTAGAGGCTCAGTGCACAGATTTGTGCACTGGTGGGGTCCCTCAGCTTGGCCTGTGCCCTCTCCAGTTGATCTTTCCAAACGGTCACTTAGGCTTTTATATATGTAGATTACTAGTTTATTTTAAAATGATAAAACTCAGGAACAGCCAGATGGAAGAGATGTATAGAGCAAGGTATGTGGGAAGATATCCAGAGCTTCCATGCCCTATGCCTGCACTCCTGTGTGTTTACTAACCCAAAAACTCTGATAGGCAACATTTAGGGATTTTTATGGAAGCTTTGTTATGTGGGCATTATTGATGAAATCATTGCCATTAACTCAGCCTCCAGCCCTCTCCCGTCCCAGAGTTGGAGGTGGAGACTATAAGTTTCAACCTTCTAATCACTGGGTTGGCTCCCTTGGCAACCAGCTCCTCAAAGAGGCTTGTGATAAATAACAAAAGACACTCCTTTCACCTTTATCTCCCTTACGAAATGTGGGACCCCTGCTGTAGATTTTGGGTACATAGTGGGCTAAATGCTGGTACACTTCTCTAGTGAGGTCTGTAGATTGGAAATTTCAAGAGTTTTATCAGAGATCTGCCAGGAATGGGAAAAAGGCCAAATATCCTATATAATAAAAGGCTAATATGCAAATCGACCAAACAGCGGAACAACCTGTCGCTTTGATGCACTCTGACCACCAGGGGGCAGATGCTCAAGGCAGGAGCTTCCCCCTGGTGGTCAGTGCGCTCCCACAGGGGGAGCGCCACTCAGCCAGAAGCTCTGAGCCGGGCTCAGGACTCGCAAGCGCAGCAGCGGTGGCGGGAGCATCTTCCACCTCCATGGCAGGGCTAAGGATGTCCAACTATGGCTTAGGCCCACGTGGGGAGCGGGCCTAAGCCATCAGTCAGACATCTTTTGAGGGCTCCCAGACTGCGAGAGGGCACAGGCCAGGCTGAGAGACCACCCCTCCCACCCCGAGTGCATGAATTTCATGCACTGGACCTCTAGTATATTATAAATAACAATATCACAGTACCCATTTGCTATCATATAATTATCAAAGGTAGTTGAATGTAAAAGTTTGGGAGCAGACCTAACTGGTTTGGCTCAGTGGATAGAGTGTCAGCCTGCAGACTGAAGGGTCCCAGGTTCGATTCCGGTCAAGGACATGTGCCTTGGTTGTGGATACATCCCCAGTGGGAGGTGTGCAAGAGGCAGCTGATCGATGTTTCTCTTTCAACAATGTTTCTGATTCTCTATCCCTTTCCCTTCAACTCTGTAAAAAATCAATAAAATATATATATTTTTTAAAAGTTTGGGAACAAAAAAGTGGCTGTTTTTGGTTTGTTTATTGCAGGGAGAAGGAAGAGGAAAGGGCTTATAGTGAGGTTGATCAGGGAAAGAAGCCACTTCGGTGAAACAGAGTCTCTTGTGGACTGATATTCATAAGAATGGCATGTCATCCCATATTAATCGATCGAAAATATAAGTAATGTATTGGCTGTTGATGTTCACTACATGCTGTTCTGTCGGCAAACTGATAAAGAGAATCCAAATCACAGTCATAATATCAGGGTAATCGCTTCAAAGGTATATAAATGCCTAATCACTATGTTGTGACCTGACACTAATATAATGTCTCTTGAATGTAATTGAAAATAACTTATTAAAGAAATTGAAAAAAATTTTTTTGAACAAAGCATTAGAAATGAACGGGCTCAGTGGCTAGTGATTTATATGACAATTTGATGTGGTCATTTGCCCGTACTGCCTACAGAAGATTGCTTCTAGAGTTGAGGAAGAAGGGCTCCTTTCACTTTAATTTTACTTTCACTTTAATTTTACTTTCACTTTAAGTAGAATTCTAAAATAGTTTGGATTTGGTTTTAAATTTTGCCCTTTTTGGAAAGAAGACATTCAGTGATGAGTGTTGTCAACAGAATAATTTATAAGACTCTTTTTTTTAATATATTTTTTATTGATTAAGATATTACATATGTGTCCTTGTCCCCACGTTACCCTCTACCCCCTCCCCCCCAATTTATAAGACTCTTACCATTATTTTTGTACCTAAAAGAAAATAGAGTAGATGTATTCAAATTAGTAGTTTATTGACATTGTTTAAAACATTTTTTCTTTTTTCTTTGTTTACAGAAATGGCTGCAGTCTACTGACCTCACTAGAGAAGTATACCAGCATTTAGCCCACTATGTACCCAAAATCTACTGCAGGGGTCCCAACCCTTTTCCACAGAGAGAAGACATGCTGGCACAGCTTGTCTTATTGGGACCAATGGAATGGTACATTTGTGGTGAAGATCCTGCATTTGGATTTCCAAAACTTGAACAAGCAAACAAACCTTCTCATCTTTGTGGTCGTGTTTTTAAAGTAGGAGAGCCTACTTACTCTTGCAGGTAAAATATTGTCATTCTCTTTATAAAAGGCTCTTGTTTTTATTTGACTTTTTTTTCCTTCTGAAAACTTACATCTTTGTTTTAAATTGTGAAGTATAATATGTGCATGTGTGTACACAGCAAGTATATGCAGTGTAATAAGAAATTATGAAACAAACATTCATGAGATTATTTTCCAGGTCAAGAAGTAGAACATCTCCAGCATCCTAGAAACCCACTGTATGCTTTCTTCCTACCCCATAATTAACTGCTACCTTGACTCTTGTAATAATCACTTTCTTGCTTTTCTTTTACATATATTTTTATTGATGTCAGAGAGGAAGGAAAAGGGAGAGAGAGAGATAGAAACATGAACGATGAAAGAGAATCATCAATTGGCTGCCTTACACACCCCTCACTGGGGATTACTGAGCCTGCAATCCAGGCCTGTGCCCTGACTGGGAATTGAACTGTGGCCTACTGGTCATAGGTTGGCGCTCAACCACTGAGCCAAACTGACTAAGGTGGACCTTGCTTTTCTGATCATTTTTCAGTTACAGTGATTCTTTTTGATGTTTGTATTATCCCAGATATGTGGAAGCCCTATCACACTAGCATCTGTATCCTTTTACATGCCTTCATTAGTGTTTGAATACTTCTTTGATTTCTGTCTCAAGATATCCAAACAACCGACTATTTATTACTCTGACCCATATGCAGAATCATGTTACCGACCAAACTGGATCTGAATGCTCAGTAGTTGCCAGCAAAAAGATGATTTTATGAGAAGGAACTTTATTGTGAGCCAGCAAGCAAGGACAAGTATATAATCCATATTTATTAGGGAAAATCATGCACTAGCATCAAGGTAGACTTAGTCATTGCATGTATAGGTAGGGACATGCCTACCTATACAGCGCTTGCGCAGTTAGGAAACATGCTTAAACATACATTGCTCGTTCAAAAATGATGGGAAATCTCTGCAAATCTACCCCTGGGTGGAGATTTTGTGTTTTAATGAGGAAAGTTCACATGGAGGTCACTGAAGGGTTCTTCAGGCTCCTCCAGACAGTCTCAGATGATTTTAGCTGGTTCACCCCCTGGTCCTGCAAAATATCCTGGGCTTGATCCTGAAAAACATTAGTAGCAATCACCAACATCAGGGATTGTATAGGTATGGATAAACATCTAAGTTTTGATTTTTCTGTGAAACTTTCAGCAAACTTTAAAGATAGTGTTACACAAACCTTATAAATTTTAGAGTGACCTAGTCAGGGTTACAGGTTATTCGAGGCAGTGTTTCCTTTTAGTTGGGAATGGTAGGTAAGAACCAAGATATGGGGGGTGAGTGAGGGACGACCAAATGACTGAACAGCAGGCTGTGTGGGGTGACCAGGCCAGCAGGGGGGGGCAGTAAGGGGCACCCAGGC